GCGACAACAAAACCCTCCGATACCAAAAAAGTTTTGTTTTTTCTACAAAAATAAGTAAACCTTCTGAATCAGACAGAGTAGCTGCATCTCGGATGTTGTATCGGAAGCGGTGGGTTTTCACGGCCTAATAAGGATCAATGTTGGCGAAGCATGGCTTCATCTCTGCCTTGGGACGATTGACTTCTCACTCACCTTCTTCTTCTTCTTCAAGTGTGCTCAGAAGACAAGAGTTTTTGGTTCGAACGCTTTGTGGGTCACGAATCCATCGACCCAAGCTCATCAGAGCAATGAGTTCCACATCGGAGGCTGACGCTGAGAATGTCCTGAGAATCGTGACGCCATCGCTCGACCCCAAACGACACAAAGGCCAAGCTGGTTAGAAATCTCCCTCTTTCTCTGCCTAGTTCTTCCTGGGTTTTGTGTTTTTCCTCCTCTACGTATCTCAATTGTGTGGTCGGTGGATGAATCAAGTTCGAATTTCAAAGTCTCGAGTTTTTTTTTAGGGTTCCTTATGTGTAGCTTTCCTGTGTTGAAAATTGATCTGTGTCAGGGAAGATAGCTGTGATTGGAGGATGTCGTGAATACACAGGAGCTCCATACTTCGCCGCCATTTCAGCTTTGAAAATCGTCAGTTTGTTTCGTTTCTACTCAAAAGTTTCTGCTCAAAATCTTTGCTTTTAACTTAGTCTCTGTACACAAAAGAGAAGACTGGTTTTCTTGTCCGTAAAACTGTAGGGTGCTGATCTGTCTCATGTCTTCTGCACCAAAGACGCAGCTACTGTTATAAAGAGCTATAGTCCTGAGCTTATAGTTCACCCTGTTCTTGAGGAATCCTATAGCATCAGGTGAATACTTCTACTGTCCACAATGTGTGATACTTCTACTGTGTGATTTCATAGTCTCTATGTTCTGTTATTTGGATGTAGTCAATTCAGTGAGGAAGAGAAAAGAAAAGTCCAGGATAAAGTGCTCGGTGAAGTCGATAAATGGATGGAAAGATTTGATTGCCTTGTAATTGGTCCTGGTTTGGGAAGGGATCAATTTCTTCTGGTATAGATTCCTATGCCCCTGCTTCATCAATTTACAGAATTTGATTTGTCAATGATTTGGTTGGTTGACTTGGCGCTTCTGTATTTCCAGGAATGTGTCAGTAAGATCATGGTTCTTGCCAAAAAGGTCAATGTTCCTTTTGTTGTAGATGGGGTAAGCAGCGATATATGTAGTGTAAAGATTGGAGCAATCGGCTTTTTTCGCTTGCCTGATCTTTATCCCTTGATTATTCCGTATGGTGATTCTGCAGGACGGACTTTTTCTTGTAACAAATTCCATTGAGCTTGTCAAGAGCTATCCGTTAGCTGTCTTAACTCCAAACGTGAACGAGTATAAGCGTTTGGTTCAGAAAGTACTGAATTGTGAAGTTGATGAACAGAATTCTGAAGATCAGCTACGTTCTTTGGCCAAACAGTAAGTACAAAAGTCACTTTACAAGTCTAGAAAGAAACAATTAGAATCTGAAAATCTCCTTAAGTCATCTAGAGGGGAGTATTTCCACAGTCCATACCACCCCGTGATTTGTAGCACATAATCTGATGATTATAATGTTAGTCGCCTCTGTCATTCAGGATTGGTGGCGTCACGATTCTGAAGAAAGGGAAATCTGATCTTATAAGCAACGGGGAGACAGGTGAGTAACTTTTTCTCTATCTTTTTTTCTGGTTAGAGAAAATTGAGAACGCCAGGTGTGATTATATCTATTTTTGTAGTAAGATCAGTGGGCATATATGGCTCACCAAGGCGCTGTGGTGGACAAGGCGATATTCTCTCTGGGAGGTGATAATTCACCATTCTGTGATCCAGTATCATTAGATTACTCGGGTTCTCACAGTTAAAATTCTGAAATTTTGTATCCACTGATAGTTGCCTGCATGTATTTGGTTTCATCTAGTGTCGCAGTGTTTCTGTCATGGGCGCAACAGCTTAAATCAAGTCCTGAAAGGTTAGATACCTACTTTATTTGCTCTCCGTGAATCTGTTTACAATCATTTTCTAGCTCAAACATTGATTCTGAAAACCAAAACATTTCAGTTCCTTAGAGAATCCAGCCATCTTGGGATGCATAGCAGCATCGGGCCTGCTGAGAAAGGCTGCATCTCTGGCTTTTACAAAACACAAGAGATCAACTCTCACAAGCGACATTATCGAATGTTTAGGGGAGAGGTATGGATTTCTTTCTTACTGAAACTGCTGCATTAGAGAATCCACAAAAGTTTTTGTCTCGGTCATAATATTTTTCGGTTTTTTCAACAGTTTGGAGGATATCTGCCCTGCATCTTAATCTGCAGAACTCATGAACTAGAGTTGTCTTGCCTTCTTTCTACTGCATCTTATTGTCTGTGAGAAACTTCAAAAGA